GTACTTTATTGTTTCAGAATCTCCACCGCACCGAATCGATGGTCTCTCTCTGTTTCCGCTCTCTGGTGAATTATATCACAGATGATAACTTAGCTGGGCTGAAAATTTTTCTTGAGAACAAAAGAGTTCAAATAGATGATAGAGATGAGGTAAGACTCTTCATGCAAACTATTTTCATAGAATTATTAATGTAGATAATTCCTAATTAATATCATTTACCTTCCTCTGAGGTATGATTTTTGTAAGTATGTTGTTGATTCAGTCCTTGTTTATGTTTTTGTTTCAGAATAACAATACTGCACTTATAGTAGCTGCCTCTAAAGGAAAACTTTACTTTGTAAGGGAATTAATAAATCATGGTGCTGATGCCAATGCAGAGGATGCAGTAAGTCATTACAAAGTGTTTGCATGTGATGTAAACGTTATTACACCAGATAGATTCTTACAGCACATTTATTTTGATACTGGTATTTATTGTACTACTGTAAGAAATTTTGTCATAAGCAAATAACACATTTGCCTTGCATGCACACTTAAAAATAATGTATTTATATATACATACTCAAGTAAAATATACAAATGTTTTCTCCTCTTCAGTGTAGATTGTGGTCTTTTGGACTTTCGTGCCCTATGTACCTCACTTTACCCTGAAGATGGGCGCAGCACATTCTTGCAGAATGTTGATCTACAACCAGAATACGACATGGTGCAGACATCAAGACCACTAAAATTTAAAATTTATATTCATTTTATAAATGACAGAAAATTTGGAAATAATTGTAGTGTAAACTATTTTATGGAAAGATTTTCTTCATTAATAAGGAGGTGAATGCTCACTGTCATTGGGAAATTACTTCATAAGCAAGGTGTACGTGTGTGCGCACATGCGTGCACTTGCATGCACACATGCCAAGAGAATAAACAGGTGCACCCAGACATGTTGATGCCAAGTCTGTTTGTGCTTAGCTATTTGTGTGATTGATTCAGTGTAGGATCATACCAGTATGAATGTAGCACAACTTTTCTGATTTGATGGCTTACCTAATTATTCCTGTTGTGAAAATACAGAAATATAACGCGGTCTATAAAAATTTCCAAATTAATTTTTTGCAAACAAATTACCACGCTGTAAGTAGTACTGGAAGGCAAAGTTTCATACGTTATTACGAGTACTGAGTTTTGTTTCAGGATAACTGGTCAGCACTTTTGTGTGCAGCCAAAGAAGGTTATGCAGACATTTGTATGGAACTCTTGGAACATGGCGCTGATATTGAGCACAGGGATATGGTATGGTATTTTTATGAAGTTTCAGATTTTATTTGTTTTTTATTCTGCAAATGATAGAAATGTTTCTGATGTTTTTTTTGGGGGGCTTATTATTTCACAGTAAAAGTACTTATGTGTATGTAAAGTTTTGGTTCAGTGATCATTTCTAAAAACAGACTGATTCAACATCTGAAAAGGTGTTAAGAGACATTAATTGCAAAGTTTTGGAAACCAGAAGGACAGTTTTCAATTAGTCTGAAATATTGTATCATACTAACCTCAAGAAGTTATGTAATAAATGTAAGGGTACCTTTCTGTTTTAGGGTGGATGGACAGCACTTATGTGGGCAACATACAAGGGCCACTCAGAGGCAGCAGCATTGTTGCTGGACCGTGGTTCTGAAGTGAATGCTCATGGCAATTACCATATTTCATCACTGCTTTGGGCAGCTGGAAGAGGCCATGTAGATATTGCCAGAAACCTCATACATCATGGAGCCAAAGTTAATGTGGGTGACAAGGTATGCAAATTAAAGTTACTGAGCTATACAGCTTTGTAATTGCAATGTGTTTAGTATTTTAACCAAATAGTAATTTTAACATTTAATGTTTATTCTTGTTTTTTGTTTACAGTATGGTACAACTGCTCTTGTGTGGGCTTGCCGAAAAGGGAATGTTGATATTGTAGATAGTTTGTTAAAAGCAGGGGCAAATGTGGATACAGCTGGAATGGTAGGTTTCTTGTGTAAATTTGTAGTTTTATGTTATATTGTACCAGTGTGAATTCATTGATATTTTTAAAACATATTAATGATGGAGACTGTTTTTTATTTGTTTATTTTATTATTATGACTGGTTGACATCTGAATCTCTGTGTTAATCTTTACAAACTATTTCTTGCCTTTTTATTTTTCTAACTAACAATCTAACTATGTGAATCAGATGAGAAGCTAATAGTCATGCAATTTATTAAGAAATTCTCTGCCTTTGAAGGAACCAAGCTGTTGGTTTCTATCCTGAGCCAAATTAATCCAGTCCACACCTGCCTTCATTATTTTCTAAAGTTCCATCTTTGCCTAGGTCTTAGTGCCTCTTCCCTTCAGGTTTTAAAAACAAGGAATTTGTACACATTTATCTCCTTTATACATACTGTATTCTCCACAATCTCATCCTCTTCAGCTTTATTCAGAGTGTCCAAGAAAGAGTGCACACATTTTAAACATTTTTATTGAAAAAATAAACAGAGCTAGAAGAGTACGGTTTTCTCCACATGAATCAGCAACTCAGAAAGTTTTTTCGCACCTTTGTTCGTTTCACTGCACTTCGACCGGAGCTCCCTTTGTTTCTCGCACAATGTCCATCCGGTATTAAAAAGCCCTGAAAGCGTTGCCACACATTTGAGGCATGATTCCTTCCACAGAATGGATGATGCGGATTTTCAAATCTTGCAAAGAAGTGACTCGTGCGGTACGCCTGGTCGTTTGTGTACCACCAAAGGAAGAAATACATGGGCTTTAAATCTGGCGATCTTGCAGGCCATGCAATGGGCCCACCTCTCCCAATCTATCTTTCAGGAAATGTGTGGGGAAAAAGCTTTCTGAGTTTGCTGTTTAATGTGGTGTTAACTGTATTCTCTTAACTCTGTTTAATTTCTCAATAAAATTGTTTAAAATGTGCATGCTCTTTCTCGGACACTTCGTATTGCTAATAATATTTAGTGAAGAGTGTGAATTATAAAGCTCCCTGTTATGCAGTTTTCTTCAGCCTCCTGTCACTTTATCTCTTTTAGATATATATATATATTCTCCACATCAACCTCTTCTTAATAACTCTCAATCTGTGTTCTACCCGTAATGTGTCCTGTCCCTACAGTAGGTAAAATTATAATTTTGTGTATTTTAATTTTTGTTTTTATGTAGCAGACATGAAAGCAGTAATTTGCCATATTTAATCTGCTCTTAATTTCTTTGTGATTGTAATTTTGATGTGTTACCATCATTTCAAAATGTTTGAGCTTTCCATGTTCTTGAAAGTTATTACCTACCAATATTATAATTTTGGTCTTCTGATACTAGGTGTTACTAAGATGGAGCTCAGGAAAATAGGTTGTGGTAATGGGAGATGGATAGAACTGGTTCGGAGTCATGACCAGTGATAAACTTTAGTGTTGGCAATGTAGAACTCTGAGATCTACTACCAGGGAGTATGTGAGTGAATTAATTATTAGAAAATTAATTAATCGTACTGGGCGATAAAAAAGTATTTGTGTGTTATTTATTTTATGTACAGTTTTCAAGAAATTTGAAAATTATAGTTAATCGGTGTTAACGCTGTTTTGCTTCAGTACTCCTGGACACCATTGTTGGTAGCAACTTTAGGGAATCATGTGGATGTTGTAAACCGTTTGTTGGAACATAAGCCTAATGTGAATGCCTTGGACAAAGATGGTTGCACAGCTCTAACTCTAGCCTGCAAGGAGGGATTTCATGAAATTGCTGTAGCCTTGCTCAATGTGGGAGCATATATAAACATACAGGTGAGATGAAGATAAGGTCCTGCATAAAACTAGAGTTGTTATGAATTTCATCTTATTATTTAATTAACTAAATTTTAATCATTTATAGAGAACCTTATGACTCTTGCTTGAAAATTAATATTTTTATTTCTCCTCATTACTGTCATCCTTTTATAAGGATATGTCCACTTAAAATAATTTTGTGTTTCCTTTAATTTCACTTCAGTTAATTTGTTACCTGCTTGCTGTTAAGGTTTAATTTCTTATGTAGATGCATGAGAAATATTTTGAGAATTATAAATGTTTAGAAAATTTTAATCTTTCCTTGAAGAACTGATTGCACTATGTTTGTGTATGGCTGATATCCTGTATTGGGACATCCTTATGTGTATATATTAACCACGGTTGTCATGACTGTTTCTGTGGGGTCCATGAAAGATAGGGGCTAATGAAATTAAAATTTAAGACTTCTTTGTAGCATACCTGAAAAAATATAATACTGGAAGAAATGGTAACATAGGATCCAGTAATTCATTTCTGAGACAAGGTATGAACATTCTTATTATATTCTGCCAGAAAAATAAGTCTGCACTCTCTCCATTTTGTCTGTGTGTTCTCTTGATATAGATTGCCCCTTAAATGACTAGAAAAGTTCAGTGAATGTTTCTTCAATGTAGAATTGGAAATACTGTCGGACACTTTGTGATAATCTTGTACTGGCAAGTGATATTAGCTTCACTGATATTTAAAATTAATTTTGTATCCAAAAAAATTATTAGGGGGGAGCATAATTCAAGAATATAAATAATTAATTGCTTAAAGGTCTTTTCAAGCAAACACCTGTTTTTTCTTGAAAGATAATAAAAGAACACAAAGAATATTTATTTTCTAGGTTGTTTGGACGAGGAAAGGATTTTGTGGGGATAGAAACTTCTGGATTTGTAATTTCAAAAGGAAAAGATTTTATCAGCACTGTCAATCTATGAAGTGCACTTGAGAATTTTTTCATTTGAATCCTTGAGAAACTTTATGCAGTCCTAATGGAAAACAGTTCACTCTTTTAATCTGTCATAAGAATTTTCTGTAAGATATTATATACAAGTAATGCTGATTATTAATGCTTGGAACTCATGCTGTATCTTTAGAAGTAAACCTATGTTGATTATGATGATGCTGTGTTGCCATGAACATGATTATTATTTTGGGCATTGTCCATCATGGTATCTTCAAACATGGTGATTCAGAAACTGGATCTTTTTCCATATTAGGTAACAGGGTTGGAGAGTTCCTATGCACTTGGATCCCTTGGTCAGATCTGTGTCTAAGTTCCAGTTTTTGAAATGTGTTTGTCCAAAATAATAATGTTCATGGAGACTTATGTTGCTTTACCTGTGTCTCATGTTAAGAGACTTTGCTACCAGTATGTTATATTTATGCACCTGAGGACCATATCTGTAGTGTGGGTGTGTCGTCTTTCACTCATTAGTTGAGTTGGAGAACAATGACAACCCATTCCTTTTTTAAATCTTAAAATAATTATTTTTGTATGACCAGAATGTTTGTTTTAAGCTTAATATAATGGTCTAATTGAAGTTACATGTGAAGCATTCCTTTAACCTTTGTCACACATCAAGCACTTCGCTGTTTAAAACAGAATCTGATAAATAAAATGTCTCTAGCAGTATTGCTTGTGATTTATTTGAGAGTGATACCAGTTTTGAATTCCAGCTCGAAGAAAATACACTAAATGAAATGGTTTCTTTTTGTTCCACAAGGCATATTTTGCAGTTTGTCTGACAATACAGATTACTGTCTCTGTTCAACATCAGTCTACAAGTGGTAACTTTTTTCATCATGCTGTGCAATTCCTTACAATTTTCAGGACCGTGCAGGAGATACAAACCTGATTCATGCTGTAAAAGGAGGCCATAGAGGAGTAGTTGAAGCTTTACTGAAGAAGTATGCAGATGTTGACATCTCAGGGAAAGTAAGTTTTAGTCTGAAGATGGCTGTCTTCTGAGTTATTTCCCCGTGTAGTCTGGTAGAAGTTTACCAACGTTTCAGAGGTCTTTGCTACCACCATCATCGGGGTGATGATGCCCTGATGATGGAGGCAGCAAGGACCTCTAAAACGTCTGTAAACTTCTACCAGACTACATAGTGCAACAACCCAGAAGATAGCCATCTTCAAAGTCACCGCCATGAAAACCTCAATTCTTACAAGTTTTAGTCAGTATTTCATTTAATTCAGACTTTAAAACAGCTGTCTCAGATACATATTCATAGGTATTTTCTTTTGAACATGAGTTTAAATTACTCTTTTCCATATATGATGATTGTCCATTGTCTCACTATGTACTTCTGTTACAGAAGTAGTTGATGTGGGGGAACACAGAATAAGCATGATAATTTTATTAAAGTTAATTATTTTTATGTGATTATTTCTATATAGTCAGCATGATATAGGAATTAGTTTAAATTGGAATTATAGTACCAGTACAAAATAATTCCATTTTTTGTGACATATGCGTATAAAATTAGAATAAGTAAAATTATAAGTTATATTTCATGAAGATATATCCTACTGAAGATAATTTGGATAAAATCATTGAAAGATTATGTTTCCCCACTGCTCTTATGAAATTCCCATAAAGCCGTGTAGTATGTTTATTCTGCATGCATTCATATGGATTTATTTGAGTACTGGTTCCAGTGAGAGTTTCCAAAATTTGATTAAAAGAAATGTCAAACCATAATACTTGTGGTATCCCTCATTAAGTGGAGCAACAGAGCCATAAGTAGTACATCTCCCTCTATATTCTCAACACTTCTGTTCTAGCGACTGCAAGAAAATTATCTTAAAGGTATTTCAGAAAGATGAGAGATAAATCCTTAATTCGCTCAAATTTGACTTCCAAAACAAGTCCTGGAGAAATGGTTGATATGGCCAGGTTACATTCCATGCGTATTATTTCCCCACAAAATGTAGTGTAATTTATCTTATTTATAATAATTATAATGTAAGCCGTAAACACACTTCACATGAATGACTAATGTAAAATTATTGCTTCTATCCTTCAGTGTCTGCTGTGGCAAAGCATTGTGTGATACATGGTATAGCCTTATTCTCTTGTTTTAGGACAGGAAAACAGCAATATATTGGGCTGTAGAAAAGGGAAATGTTGCAATGGTGAAGCTTCTTTTAAGTGCAAATCCAGATCTAGAAATGTCAACAAAGGTAGGTTAATTAATTTTCCATCTTGGTGATTCATTCATTGCCATATTCATTTTATTTAATTATTATTTATATATGAAGTACCAGATAATGTATTATTGGGCATTATTACTATTATATGTGTTTTGAGAAAGTAAAAAGGTTTCTTTCTTGTTATGGCAGAATTTGATTAAAGAAATAACTGATTTTCTGTCTAGGATGGTGATACTCCACTCTTGAGAGCAGTGAGGATTAGAAATGTTGAGATTGTGCAACTTCTCCTTGACAAAAAGGCAAAGGTTTCAGCAAATGATAAGAAAGGAGACACTGCTCTTCATATAGCAATGAGAGCCAGGTCAAAGGTAATGTTACTGACCTAGTTAACCGTGAAATATGATGATCAAATATGTGATTATACCGAGTTGCTTGTACTGTAATGATTTTTATTATACTGTATTACAGAACAACTTTTATCTGACAAATTCAGGGTGAAATTAAATTAAAGCACAGGCTCTCCATAGTGTGATTCCTTGTTAAAATCTGATACAACATATGTCTTGAGGTGCGTAGTTTTCAAAATGCACGTGACCATCAAATGGGGTAACACACTTCTCTTTGTGTGATTTGTCATGATGATACATAAAGCATGTTTAAAACTCGTGATACACAGTGCACAGCAGGGCTCATCTGTGACTGAATGTTCGTGGAATACACACATGATGAATACTGGAACATGCTCATAACCTTTGGTGCCTGCAGTAGTTTAGCTGTTTCTGCTGCATTAGAATATGCAGTATGTTACCCTGGTTGACATCATTTAGATGATAATCTATTTCAACAACTGGTGCAGCATCTTGGTGAGACAGAATGTGTAACATGTGAAAGCAGTAATATTTGAGATTTTCACAGCGGTGAATATGAAGATTTCTGTCTTCTGGGTTGTTGCGCTGTGTAGTCTGGTCGATGTTAACCAACGTTTCAGAGGTCATACTGCCTCCGTCATCATCGCCCTGATGACAGAGGCAGTACGACCTCTGAAACGTTGGTTAACATCGACCAGACTACACAGCGCAACAACCCAGAAGACAGAAATCTTCATATTCACCGCTGTGAAAAGCAGGTTACCCACAGACTAAGGACACCACCCAATGAAGATGCCATACTTGCAGGTGTCGATTGAGAACTGTGGAGAAGTACGCATGATATTGCACGAGTATTGGGACTATCCAAACTGAGGGTCCTTGGCGTTCTTTATGATTAGCAATTGCATCCATTTCACTACTCACGGAGCACATATCTATTTCCAGACGATTATCCTCTATGGGTGGATGTTTGCGAATGACTGCGACATCAACACGCTGCAGATGAGCTCTTTTTACACAACATTCTGTGGTCAGATGAAGCATGTTTTACGTATAAGGGTTTGGGTATGTTCATCATCCACAAATTACCTCCAAGCATGAGATAATCCTCACGCTGTCTGCAAACATGGGCATTAAATCGGCTTCAGCATCTTTGTTTGGGCTGGTATTGGGGACATCGTTGTATGCTCCTATCTGGTCAACGATATTGTGATTTTCTGGAAGCTGTTCTGCCAGGGCTTCTTGAAGACATGCCTCTACCTGTGAGGCTGAGGTTGTGATTTCAGGATGACAGTGTTCCAGCACACCATGAGGAAGTTGTCCAGCAGTGGTTGAACACAACTTATCTAGGAAGGTGGAACGAACATGGAGGACTGATTTCATGGCTTCCTTGGTTGCTGGATCTAACTCTGATAGATATTTTCCTATGGGGATACTAGAAGAGCATGTTTACACAGTCCCTCCCATGACTATTGAAAATCTTGTGGCAAGACTTCAAGTAACTGTAACAATGGTTGATGCCAACATATTAAGGCATGTTCAGTAGAATGCTGTGTGGTGCATTGCCATCTGCCATGAAATGGATGGAGCACACTTTGAACTCCTGTTATAACTACAAGGCACCCATAGTTTGATCACTTGATAGCTTGTGCGATTTGACAGCAACGTGTATCATGAAAACTGAACATCACAGGACATATGTTATATTATTTTTGAGTTGTTTTTGACAACGAACTACACTGTGGAGTGCTTAAGTGTGAATTTTGTTTTACTCTGTACAGGTAGCCCTCGATTTGCGCTGATTCAGAATAACGCCGATTTTGAAACCAGCTAGTCAAAAAGTGAAGAAAATATATTTTACTATTATATACAACGTTTTACAATGTATCTCATACTGATTCTTATACTAAATAGTAATTCTTACATCGCTGATTTTTAATAAAAGTTATAAATAAAGTCATCTCTGCAATTATGTATGTTTCGTTAACGCGAATTTGCTCCAATGAGATCGATGAATCGGTAAAAGCTGTTTGTGAAATGTAAACTTTTGCATATGCGAGTTTTCTCTTAACAAAATTTCATTCCTGGCACTTCAAACTTTCAAAGGACTAATTTAATCTCTGCGGAGGTACCGGGGTTATTTTTACTACGCGATTTTCTATAGGTCTTACACGAATGCAATTGTCGCAAAACAGCAGAGATGATTGTACACATCAGTCACATGAAAGAATCGCAGTCAATCGCGGGGACCAATGAATTTCCGATTGTAAGTGTATAAAATATATTTTTTAAATTCCATTTATTTTATTTACGTTATTTCAGAGCTTTAAATGTAATGCCATTATATTACTCGTCAATGTTTGGTTGCTGGGAACGCATGTCATTGACTTTCCATTGATTTACATTATAAAAGAGTTTCAGTTTACGCCAGTTTGTCCAGGAACGCATCCCCGGCGTAAATCGAGGGCTACCTGTATATTGGTATGTGATATAATTGATGCATTATGTGTATATGTTTCAAGCTGATATAAATTCTTGCTCAGTGTTTGCTTTTTATACTACAAATGCTTCATAATAAAATTATTCAGAATAAACTTTTATTGTATATTAAAAGTTTTTACTCATTGATCTATTATTTTATTTACTCTACTTCGGTATTGTTCTTTTACAGGGTATAGTTGAAGTACTCCTAAGGAATCCTAAAAATAGCCAGCTGTTATATCGACCAAATAGGTCAGGAGAAACACCATACAATATTGATATGAATCATCAAAAAACTATATTGGGTCAAATATTTGGAGCAAGTAAGTCACTCAGTCAGGAATATGTGGTATTGTGTAAGAATATAAAATTGAGGTTACATGCTCCTGTTTCTTGTTTCCTTATTGTTTTGCTGTGGGTATATGACCAGTTATTCAGTCTTCTTAATAATAACCAATACAAAATATAAATAAGTTTGATGTGTATGTTTCTAGGACGATTAAACACTAATGAAGACAATGAGAACATGTTAGGATATGATCTGTACAGTAGTGCTTTGGCAGATATCCTGAGTGAACCGTCATTGTCAATGCCTATAACAGTTGGCTTGTATGCCAAATGGGGTAGTGGCAAGTCCTTTCTACTAAACAAACTGAGAGGTATGTATGTCAGGCAGGTGTGTTGTGTTTACATTAAATAGTTAATATACAAACATAAATACCATGTAATTTTATATTTTCCAAAGCAAATTATGATTTTCTTGTAATAGTCCTGTTGTCACACATATTTTGTCTTATTAGTGTGTGGCTCAAAATAAACAAACTGTATATATTTAATTAGTTCCTTGTTTATACATGTAATGGACAAAAATAGTGTCACATAGAACTTTGGGATCATATTTATATTAATTTATAGTGTAAATTTAAACTCTTTAGATCAGATGTAATTCCTCTCTCCTATGATAACTTTTTACACTGTCTTAACATATCAAGACCGCCACGGTGGTCTAGCGGTTAGAACGCTGGCCTTGTAATCCTGTGGTCCCGGGTTCGATTCCTGGCGGTGCCCGAATTTATAACTTGTGTTGGGCAAGGCCGTGGTCTAGGCAACACGGAGTTTTCCTCCGGGGCTTTCCCGGTTTCTCCGTGGCATCCCAATAATTACTCCATACACACAGAAGAAGGCAGTGGCAAACCACTTCTGTATCACCTTCCTAAAAACATATGTGAACAGGTCCCAGTCTGAGAAAAGGATGGAAGGATCCTGTTCATAATATGTCGCCAACCTCCTGTAAAGGAGACGGCGTAATGAAGAAGAAGAAGATATCAAGATGCTCAAGTTAAAAAGTTATGTGACAGGTCATTAGCATGTATATTTTTTACATAATAGTCATGTTACAGTAATTGATTCTCCCACTGAGATTGTGCACTTAATTTACTTCATTTCACTTCTAAAGGCACTCAGGTGTAATATACGATTATGAATGTCAATTTTAATTTTGAGTAAATATGTTTAAAATTATATGAAGTTGGTAAGTTTCTTAAGAAGTTTGTGACAGTATGAACTTCTAAGATGGGGAAAAAACATAAAATAAATTTACCCTCACTTTTCTTAAAACTTTAAGTTTTTCTATTAGTCATTGCTTTTCACCTAATCTCACATGCAGCCATGTTTTGAGTTTATCAGTTAAATCATGTTACAAAACCTATACAATGCAAATAACATTACACCTTCTTGCTCCTGCTGTATTACATATGTGTACATAAATGAACATGGTGAATACAGAAACAAAGCAGCACATGAATCAAATAGACTTAATCTAATGTTTTATGTGAAAATCAATAAACATTGATTACATTCAAACCTAGCAACCTATGTTGTGTGTGAAATTCTGTGTTGTATGTAATATAAATTTTTAATAAATATGTATTAAATGGAAATTTTCATAAAAGAATTTCTGTGACAGGAAAGCGTTATGTATGAGAATTTATTGCACAAGAAAATTTTAACATTTTACTTAATAGGCCTTATGGCTGGACTTCAAAAACCAAATTTTGAGGTGCTACATTTTATAATTGAGAACTTCTTATCAGGGAAATACTATACTTTGGTAACAGGTCATACTGTAACTTTTGGTCTTTAGCATGATACTTGTTATAATGTGGATCAGTTTAGGATCATAAAATTTACCTTCTGACTTTGCATTTTCAGAAGAATATAATTTATTATATTTATTTCTGATACATATCCTTTATCAAGGTCTCACTTTGTTTTAATTGTATAAATATTTATTTTTGCTTCCATAGACTTTCAGCATTTCAAAATCCTTTGTTATAATTCTTACTGTATATAACTTTGTCCAATTATATGAATGGTAAGTTGGAAAAGGTTTGACCCAAATCATCCATAGTCCATTTTAAGATACAATCATTGCCTTACCCTCATGTCAGGTTGTATCTTATGCAATATGTGTGTCTTTCTAGAGGAAATGAAGAACTTTGCCCGTCAGTGGGTGGATCCAGTATTCCAGTTTTCATCCCTTTTGCTATTAGTTATTGTACACACTGCCTTGCTTGCTGGTATGGTGATTGGTTTGGCAGTCAGGTCATGGATAATTGGTGTGTGTTCGGGTGGTGGATTGGTCCTTTTTTGTTATACATTCCTAATACTTGTTTGGTATGGCAGTCAAAGGTACGTAACTTATCGGTTCATTTTCTTATGAATTAATTTACTAAGTTTGTTTTATAGTATCGTAATCTGAGAAATAAAATATTACTATTGTTATATTTCCTGCCTTAGTAGTTCTCTAAAAATGTTAATTAGTTAACATTGTTTGTTACAACTACTGCACTCTTTTTTAGATGTTTGTAACATAGTAATGGTAATTAAACTCTGAAATTTATAATTCTGCTACCAGCAGAACTTTGTTTTCAGTCTGTTTAGTATTAGCTAATTGTAATCTGTTGATGTGCAACTATGACCAATAGTGGAAAGATGTACATCATTTTGGAGTATTCACAGTTTTTGAATGTGTATTTTACAGTTTTACATCGATGTACATGCAGACTAGATGCTTGCCTAATAAAGAATGAAGGGGATATTGTATTTCAGTGCATATTTTTAACTCTTTCAAGCTTAGTGGTTAAGAATAAGTAAATTTTTTTAAGTGTTGATTTATTAACTTAGAAATGATACTCACATGTTAAAATTCTTATTTGTGATGTGTGTTTCCATAATTTTCCTTTACTATTATGAAAGCTCTGTGTTAACTGCTGACATGCAGCGTACAAGTCTGCTGTTTACAAAGCTAATGAAGAACAGAGCGATAATGTAATTTTTCCCTTGTATTTGTTCAAATATTTTAGACCCAAGGCATCTGGAGTAGGTAAATTTCTTGAGAGTAATAGTTTTGTGATTTGGAAATAACATAAAAATATATAAGAATGGAATTTGTTACACATTTTTATATTCACATTGTGCTGCACTCTTGTGGCAGATATAAGTGCTAAAGTTATAACGTCTTCTAACGATACTAATGTAAAGATGTAACATAAGAATGCTTGTTGTGCCTTAAATAATTTACATTGGCAGGTACTGTTCATTTAACTGAAAACTGACTAAAATTATGAAATTTTAAATTATTCATCCTGACCTTTCAAGAGGAACACTGTCTGTCAACTCATCAAAAGAAATATTTTATTGAAAATCAGGTGTATTTATAACAAACTAGGAACTATAATTATTGTTAGGTATAATATTTTAGATGAAACTTCAGGATCTTTATAAAATTTTGCTTTATATTTTCCCAAATCAGGTTCTTTCATATTATAAAAAGTGAATGTACGTTCTTTAGAGTTTCATGTACTCATGTATTCTCATTACAACCAACAGACTATGTAATATCTCTTGCAGGTATGACTGGTACTGGCCATACAATTTCCATGTGTATGTTACTCGTAAACTCAATTCACTGAAACTCATTCTTCAAGTGATGTTTTGTCATCCTCCTGGAGCCAATTGGAATGATGGTCTTGCTGCTCAACCTATTAGGTATCTCTAGTTCTTGTGCCATATTATAAAACCTTTAATTTCTACATAGAATTGTGAAATATGATTACATAACCATCTGTGCAGGAGTTCAACATACTAACCCACATTTAAATTATTTATAAAATTTGAATCATAAACTTACATGTCCTAAATTCTCATATATAAATATTGCTCTCCAAGATAATAACAGTTACATTTTTAAATCGTGTACTATCCCCATGGTTTTCATAAGAGGTTAGTTAGGTTGGAGTTGTTCTTGTGTGTTTCAGTCTGTGTTTGTGTACAGATCATCCTATATTTTTCTCTCCACAATTAAAGATTTGCATTTGCATTTGCTCATACTATACCGATTCATCGATCTCATTGGAGCAAATTCGCGTTAACGAAACATACGTTATTGCAGAGATGACTATTTATAATTTTTATTCAAAATCAGCGATGTAAGAATTACGATTTAGTTTAAGAATCAGTACGAGATACATTGTAAAACGATATAAATAATAGTAAAGTATATTTTCTTCACTTTTTGACTTGCTGGCTTCAAAATTGGCGTTATTCTGAATCAGCGCAAATTGAGAGCTACTCGTATTTAGTTGAAAGACTGTGAGGCTAGTCCAGTTGACATACTACAGATGTAATGAGATTTGAGGTTGTCATGGTAATGATTGTGAAGATGACTGCCGTCTGGGTTGTTGCACTGTATAGTCTGGTAGAAGTTGCCAATGTTTCAGAGGTGTATAATCAATAATTTTCAGTCACTGAATTAGAAGTGCTTCCTTCCCAATTAAATCCACCCTATTGGAATTGGGCTAATATGAAACCAAAGATTCCAACTGTGTGAATTGTTGAAGTTATGAATAACAGAACAGGTTCTTGTTACATTTCCCAGAGATTTCAGAAAAGTGTGGAATTGAGAATTGTGATTTATTGTGAGAAATGTAAGTATCTTGTCTTACATGCTAACCTTATTTATTGTTCAGGTTCTACTTTACTGATCAGACACGAGTGAGCAGCACAACAGGAGGAGAGAATTCTGTGGTGCAAATGCTGGGGTCTCTTTATGACTCTATTGAGAATGACTATGGTGCATTTGCAACACGTCTGTACAGAGCATTTAGACCTAAATCAGGTAAATGTGAAGGAAGTAATGATTTATGCATTATGTTATTGCTATGTCATTATTATTGTTTTGTTGTTACTTCACAGAGAGGATATGATGTGTTGTTTATGTTATCATAAATGTAATAAATGAATTTAAACAAATTATTGGGAGTTTATATCTTAATTGCATCATGCTTGTGTTCCTCAATACAATACTTTTATTTTCCGTCGTTACACAAGCTTATTGTTAAAAATTTTTAACAATAAGCTTGTGTAACGACGGAAAATAAAAGTAAATTATTGGGACTAGGAAGGAGTACAAAATTTAAGGTGCAGTTAAGTGGTTAATATTGTATTGGATGTTGTGCATATGTACTGAGATAATGTAATTAGAACTGAGATGTCTAATATTTCTGCTGGTCTGTCTAATACCTAAATCCAGGTCTTACATTCTGTTCTTATAGTAAAATCTACATCATCTTGGAGGTGGCGACGGCTGTGTTGTTTACCTTATGTGATCATCTTTGAAATAGGCTTCTTAAGTTTTCTTGCTGGGATCTGTGTCCTGACTTTGTACCTTTTAACGTATGAGACAGACCCTACATCTGAGTAAGTTGAATCATTTTATTTTGAGTTTTAAAGTGGTTAGTACTTAAGTAAAAGAACTTCAAGAGAAGGGAGGAACACTTGGAAAACTCAGGCATAGATGGGACAATAATATTAAAATAATTCTTAAATAGAGTGTGGGGATGTGGATTTGACTCATCTGGTATAGGATCAGCTTTTATGAACACAGTGTTTAACATGTGGGTTCAATAAAAGGCAGAGAATTTCTTGACTAGCTTATCAACTATTAGTTTTTCCTGAAGAATTCTGTTCTATGGCATTAGTTACTTAATTGGTCATATATGCTTCCTAGATCACGTTGTTATATTATGTGAATTTAAAATGTGACACACAGTAGTAGGGCAAATTTTGTAAATTTAGGTGTTTCCTGACATATATGCAAAATATGGACAACTTCCATTACAGTATTTATATTCAAAATTACCAGTACATTTTTTAATGTCCTGAGGACAAGCCCTGGTATGTTGGATCATATAGATGATTTCAAGTCTAAAGAATATCAAACTTCTGTATTGCAAATGTTAGTCAAACTCGGTTTTTTCAGCTTTAGATACACCTTGAATCTAAATTAAAAATTTGTACTTGTGAATTCTGTTGTATAGATTATTCCAGATGTGTGTTCAGATGTACAATGCCACACAGATCATCATCTTGTTGAATATGAATGCATTTGAAAGTTGAAATTTTAGACTATTTTAAATTTGGAGTGCTTATTTTGTTTCTAAAATATAAGCTCATTTTTATTATTCTATTGGCCTAGTGCATCTCCCATCAAAGTTGATGGGAATAAACTTTTTTGTGTTGAACAGTAATGCAGTTTTATTGCAGTATTATGTTTGAAAATTGCATTGAAAGTACAACATTTGTAAAATTTATTTATAAAGTGCATTAAATGTGAAAATGTCTTCATAATAACTGAAGCCAGATTCCTGCCAAATCCACAAAACCACCACCTGACCCAAGACTATGGCCTCCTATTGAACAAGGACTCTGCCATACCTGACCATGCATACCATCTTTGCATTTTATGCTACCATAGTTGCCACTGTCAGAATTTCATTTCATTTTCTTACACATTTCACAAATGTCCCACTTGTCCAGTCAAGTGTAACAGACATTCACTATTATATTAGGAGTATATCTCTCTAAGATTCAAATATGGCAGTTATTATATAATTAATTTCAGGTACCCTGCAGCTGGTGAGATCATCCCAGTTCTGCAGATACTGTACATATTTGCATGGACTTGGGCTCAAACTTCAGAGACTTGTAAGAGTAGACTACTTTTTTGTGTCTCATCTGTCTCTAATATATGCACATCAGACTTTGAATTAAACAAAGCATGTTAAAGGAGGGGATCTTTTTATAGTTTGATACAGTTCATCTGTGTTGGATTCTAGTGGAGTCTCTTTTTGCCAAAACATAGTTTGCACTGTGTAATAACGTGGGTTCTACACGTTTTATACGCTAATATACAGTAAAACATTTTACTGAAATAATTTATTGTTATCTTTCTACTTGCAGGACTGCTATACTTGAACGTACAACTGCTCAGGTGATCCTTATTACGATTGGCTTACTACTTTGTGTGGGCATTGTGGCTAACCTTTATACATGGGCACAGATGCTCCAGGCTTTGGTGTTTTCACAAAGACGTCACCTACAGCGAGCTATATCACATCTTGATACTCTAAAATCTGAGGGCTTCCTTCAAGCACTACGTTCAGAGGTCAACCTTATGACTGAAATGGTGAGAATTATTATATAATTTATTCAAAATAAAACAGTTTAAATCTCTAAATTTTAAAGTATTCACGGCGTTGTAATAATATGATGACTTTCGGGTTGTCAGTCATGTCGGTCGAGCTGGTGAAGGAACTGCCAACGTTTTGAAAACTATGATGTTCTTGAAACTGCGGTTTCTTCACAAGCGCAACCGACATGGCTGACAACCTGAAAGTCATCATATTAGATTAAATCTTTCTTTTCTAAGGAAAATATTGCTTCCATCTTCAGGGCTGTCATTTCCAAGTGTTATCCTACTTCATCTTTTAGCTCATGGAGTTCACAGTTGAACAGAAATGTGTATCTGTAATTTGTATTATGTGGAAACATATTTCTGGTTACAGCATTTATTCTTCTTAATTATACAGATTATATTTTACTGTTTATTTCAGAGAATTAAAAATTTTGTCTTATCTCTTTAGGTTTCATGTTTTTTTTTTTTTTCAGGTACTATGTAATACAAGAAGTTATTGTCAGATTAGTTTGTTACTAACTTCTTATTTTTTCTTGTGTTCAAGGCGAAGTGCTTGGACAGTTTTACAACACAGCAAACCCGATTAGTTGTCATAGTTGATGGACTAGACAGCTGTGAACAAGACAAAGTACTGCTTGTGTTGGACGCTGTTCATATGTTGTTTTCTGATACAACTTCCCCTTTCATTGTCATACTTGCCATTGATCCTCATGTTATATCAAAGGTGAGTAAATGTATAATTAGACTGTCAACTAACTATATTACCCCCAATTTCATATTAGTAATATATTTTTCTCCTTACTCATCTGGAAAATATTTTTTAAAACTTTGTAATTTATGGAAGTGAAGATTTCTGTCTTCTGGGTTGTTGCACTGTGTAGTCTAGTCTATGTTTACCATGTTTATTCATGAATATCGCCCTGATGACGGAAGCAGTATGACCTCTGAAACGTTGGTAAACATCGACCAGACTACACAGTGCAACAACCCAGAAGACAGAAATCTTCATACTCACCTCTGTGAAACCCTCAAATCTTACTTATGGAAGTGAGTTCTTAAAGATGTCATAAAGAAGGTTGAAATTTATACTGTTTAGATGCTTTTTACTGATAATGAACCAAAAAAAGTTATAAAAATTAAAGTTAACAGCCATTTAGCATATCACTGTTTAAGTAAAACTGCGTGTTCAGTAATTTAAAAGGATTAACAAATCTTTCATTCCCTCCATCCATCAAGGTATTCTTTTATATAATTGCACAGACGTGATCGTGTAAGAATTCATATCCTTTACATAGCTTGAACACAGAATTGTGTAAGTCAGGACATTAATAATTTCTTGTTACATCCTCCTAATATATCAATTTTTAAATGTCATGTTACAGAGACATGCACTACTCTGCTTATGTAGCAGCTTCTATACTTTAATCATTAGAATATACCATAAGATGGAGAAGAAAACAAAAATCAGTGTAATACTTCGTGATATAGTTTCCATACTTGTTCAACAAATTATTGCTCTTTAAAATTGACTTATTGTTGATTTGTCAGAACTTTCTTCTGCCAAAATTCAGACTTTTTGTTTAAGATGTCTAAACCTTGTTAAGTGGCATTTAAAGCTGTTCTGACGGGTTATATTGTTCACAGTCTTCACAGTGAATTAGTTGTAAATCTCTCTGTGCATGCAGTAATCAACAGATGGCAGTTAACACCATGATTCTGGTAAGCATGAAGCCACAAGAATTTGTAATTTTGTGTACACAGCGTATGCTTGATATGAGATTGTCATGAATGTTGTCGCACTTCTGAGCTCTCAGGCATTCAGC